GATTTGGGGAAAAATGGAAACAAAAAGGGACACTTATATTGAGCATCAGAAATAGTCGCCATTTCTAAAGAGCATAAATAGGAAAGAGGGATTGGAAAATTCGATACTCAGAGGACATTGAATTCAAGCAGCGAATGGCTTACCTAACGAGCTTGTGTAAATGGCTGGTCGAACATGCACTGAGATAGTAAAAAAAAACAACAAATTTTACTAACTACAAAGAATAGGAAATTGTGAAGAGCCATGGTCGTCTCCGTCCTGAAATAACATTGCACATAGAAAAGGAAGAAGGCGAATCAGTCTCTTAAACGAATAGACCAGAATTCCCGCCTGTAAAAGTGTGAAAATACTCTGTTGCTGTAGACTACGAGTACACGTAATTAAATCTCGGTACTTCGCCGATCTGATATATATAATGCCTCGGGAATTGGGATGATTGCACATCAAAAGGCTTTCTTACCGGCTATCAAACTTAAGTAGTCGAACAAAGAACAAACCGACGTATCAAATCAGTGTTCAGTCCTCAACGAGACAGCGTTCATTCTATTTATCTCTGCCCTTGGACTTTGCAGGATTGACATTGTTGTCGGTGAAAAGTTCAAAGAGTGGCGCATTAAAGCAGAAACACTGTCGGCTGCTTCAACACAGATCTGTGGCTAATGGTTCAGTTAATTTGAATACGTCTTGTGAAAACTGACATTGAACACTTCGCAGAGAATTCCACCCATCGGGCTGAACAAATAAAGACCTTGATTTTAGAACAAACCAGATTTAAGATTAACCAAACTAGGCTTTGTATGATAGCCTCCGATTGGATAGATCTTCTGAATAGATTGTATCAGGAATTACATTAACTAAAAGGCTTCCGCGCATGTTGATTTTGTAGATCATGGTGCTATTGTTGATTTTGTAGAAATTGTTTTGGTTTCGAGTCAAGAGGAGACCAGCTATATATCTTAAAAAGGGATTTGCGTTATAATCCTGAATGTCGAAATCCTGAAATTTAAAATCCCGAAATTTGAAATCTCGAATGTATCAAAATCTAGAGAGATCAAAATCCCGAAATTTAAAATTCTGAAAGGTTAGAATGCCGAAAATATTCTTTTGGGGAGAAATTGGAAAAAAAAAAATGGAAATACTTTTATTTTTTTTATTTCTGAAAAAAATACTGTTTAAATAGTGTTTATACATTTGAAACATTCAAAATTCTTGAAAAAAATATAAAACTAGAATATATGAAGAATTTATACTGAAAGATTATGAGCGTGAGCCCTAAGATACTCTATATCAGAGGTTTTCAAACTGTGGTCTGCGGACCACAGGGGGTCCGCAAGGACAAGATAGGGGGTCCGTGGACAGCAAACACTTTTTTTATGGGTGACATGCACACTTATAAGCGCTTATAAGTAACTTATAGGCCGATCATGAAATAAATTGATTCAATAAACTATTTCATAGATTTGATATATAATATAATTCGTATCTTAAATTGATAAAGATAATGGATTCAATTTATGCAGAGAAGGAAACAAAGGATTTGAATTTTGGATCTATTTTGAGATTTCCGGCTTTCTCATTGGCTGTTAGGAGTTTGCATTAAATGCAAAATTATACAGTGTAACCCGGATATAAGAGACCCGGATATAAGAGAAACCCGGATATAAGAAAAACCCGGATATAAGAGAAACCCGGATATAAGAGAGATTTTCTCTGGTCCCAAAGTGTTCCCATAATTACCTAAACAAAATAGACCAAACCCGGATATAAGAGAAACCCGGATATAAGAGAAACCCGGATATAAGAGAAACCCGGATATAAGAGACAACACTCCTATATCCGGGTTACACTGTATGTTATATTCAGCAAATATTTATGTACAGTGTAACCCGGATATAAGAGAGTTGTCGGGATGGGGAAGAAGTCTCTTATATCCGGGTTCCTCTTATATCCGGGTTTGGTCTATTATGTTTAGGTAAGTATGGGAACACTTTGGGACCAGAGAAAATCTCTCTTATATCCGGGTTTCTCTTATATCCGGGTTACACTGTATAAATTTCATAAGCGTTTATAAGGGGGTCCCTAAGGTAAAGCCTGAAATATAAAGGGGTCCGCAAGTCAAAAAGATTGAAAACCCCTGGTCTATGTGATCTGGTCGGTTTTCACGATCGTTAACTATATTTTTAAGCCTTTCATCACAATAAAATACGTTTTTTATTCTTTTATGGACAAGACTCTCCTCGAAGAATGCGTTCACATTCTTTTTCTACGTGCTGCTACACTTTTTGAGACTCTCCAATAATGAGATCAACACTGACATGAGAATTGCCTCCTAGTTTTTTCCCATTGCTTATGTTATATTCTGGGCTTATAATGTTAATGAATTTTGGATGTTTCAAATGTATAAACATAATTTAAATCCTATTTTGTAAATTTTTAGAAATAAATTTATTTCCATTTTTTTTTTTTAACTTCTTCAGGATTTTAAATTTCGGGATTCTGATCTTTCGGGATTTTATAAATTTCGACATACGAGATTTTAAGATTCGGGCAACGCCTGAAAAGATACATGTCATGTATAATAATCTCCTTAGAATTATTTTGTTTACTAAACGCTGATTTAATACGCGGCTCAAAAGCCATATAAGGAAGAGAGTTACAGCAAAGTATTTTGCCTGTTGAAAATGTAAATTATAATCTATTTCATTTTTAAAATGTATTTTTATTGCGTTTCCTGTTGTGGTACCTAATATATATATATATATGTGTGTGTGTGTGTGTGTGTGTGTGTGTGTGTGTGTGTGTGTGTGCGTGCGTGCATACCGGGTGTAACAGCAAAATTGTCCAAATCGTGTAATAGCATAATTGTCTATCCCGCAAAATGTTTAATATCTAAAATATACTAATCTAATTAAGTTTCTTTTTTCAAAGTTTTCAGATAAGTCACTATCCCTAGATTGGTTGGCAACCATGTCTAGAAAGCCAGAACTACTCTGTTGTTTATACATAGCGGGGAAGAAAAGAGCTTATTCATACTTTTTTTTCCAAAGAGTACTTGTGCGAGATCCCACGAAACGCACTTGATCAGAATTCAATCGCAGATCGCTAATTTTGCCTTCTGTTTACAACGGCGCCCATATCTTTTCTCAAAAAATAAATCTCTTCGATTTGCATCTTCTTCTTCTTCTTCTTCTTCTTCTTCTTCTTCTTCTTTTGCTGTGTCCCTTCATGGTGTTGGCAATCATGGCCCTCCACAATTTCCTATCCTTCGTAGCTCTTAATAAAATTGTCTTTTTGTTATTTCTCCTAAATTTTGTTCCGCAATCCATGCCCATTAAGTATGTCATGCGTTGTTTTCCTCTGTCCTTCAATCTGTCCTGTGAGTAACAGATTTTCCAAACCCTCTTTCCTCACTATGTACCCTAGAAATTTCCACTGTCTCTTCCTGATGTCAGCTATAAGTTTTCCTTTTTGTTTCGATTATCTTGAAAACTTTATCGTTACCTAATATTCGGTCCAAGTTATCCTCAGCATCCTTCTGTAGAAGCACATGTTGCTTTTTGTTTTCAAGCCCGTCTAGTTGATTTTAATATGCAATTCGTTCATGAAACAATATATACTAAGTTATTTCTTAACTTTCCATCCGTTCATGACGTCATTGATTGTGGCTCTCCATGACTTCCGCTTCTTTAAGTTCTAAGAATGATAATGGTGGAATTAGACATTTCCTTACAGGAAAGAAATCAGTTCTTACTGACTTAAAGTTTCGTATTGGTATTAGCTGAAATGTATATCTCAACAATCGTTAAACTTTCAGCCCCCTAAAAAAAATAATAATAATAATACTGTGTCAAAAGGACGTTTATTCCTTTGACACTGCTGTTACCGTATATATTTTTATCTTCTACAATAACGGTAATTGTTTTTTAAAAGACAATGATTAGAATTTGAATAAAACCCAAACATATAAAAATCAATTTATAAATTTTCTTTATTCTTGAGAACTGACAGCAAAGATATTAAATTATTCATAGAAAAGACAGAGAGAAGCTACGTTGGGAAAATGACTGAAGCTGAGACGCCAGGTCAGAAAGAATAATGCTGATTCTTCTTTGGATTTTATCAATAATCTCTAAATATATAGCAGGACACCGGATTATATGTGGCAGCAATATTATAAGTATGAACGAATGGTAGACTTATAAATATGTAAGATAGATTCTGGACTATTTATTTATAGATTCGCCTATCGCACGTTTCAAACTTCTCTCCGGTTTTTTTAACAGGAGTAGAGGTTTATCCCTTGTTTCCTGTTTGGGATTGGATTTCCGTTTCCTTCTGAAATCTCCTTCTCCAACACTTTACTGCTGACATCTCCGCCTAAACTCTGTAATTGTATTTACAAGTTACTTTTTCTTAATAGGAGTAGATAGGTTTGCCTATCGTCCGGTTTACACTTCTTTTGAACAGAAGTACAGCTTTAGCCATAGTTTCCGGTTTAGTATTGGGTTTCCAGTTCCTTCTAAAATCTCTTTCATTCACTTTCACTCCCAGTTGGTACTTACGTCTTAGTGGCATTATCGCTTTGCTTGGCGTGAACTGATTAAAAAAAGATGGAATTTTTTTTTTTTCATATAACTATTTATAAAATGGTAAATAATAAATATTGCATTGTTGTTTGTTTACCTATTTTGATGATTTTTAAAAAATTTTTTATAAATTTTTAATCAAAAGATTTCCTTTCAGATGTATTTCTTTAGAAAATGGTAAATAAATCTTTATCAAAGATAAATAATAAATATCACATTGTACTTGATTCATATATTTTTAAGCTTGTTAGCAAATACTGCCGAGGGAGTCAAAAGTGTGTACAGTAATAGCGGTGTCAAAGAAATAACTATCATTTTGTTTTGTTTTTTGGGGGGAGGGGGTTCAGGCACGAGGGTTAAACATTGCTTATATATAACCAGTTATTAAGAGAAATTAGGACGTGCGCCAAATCACACTGAAACATTAGTTCCCGTACGATCTCCGAATTTAAGCAACGTCGGGTCTACTCAGTACCCCACATGGGTGACCGCTTGGGAATATCAGGGGCTGTTTGGAGTTTGGATGTATCGGGTGATGTATAGGTAATCTTTTTTTATTTATTTCACCCCATGCAAAACAATAAAGCCACTAAGACACAAGGGGTTCACCGAGTATGAAGGAATAAGAAAAAAAGAGAGACATTACTAAGGAACTTGAACAATAGCAGAAGAGTAATCAAGAAGACAGTAGATAACGAGTGACATTGCATTTAAATTATTGAAGATCAAAGTTCGCCGGAAGGCATGGTGCCGGAAGAGAGTTCCACAAGGGAGATGTGCGAGAAAATAAACTGTTAACATAGAACTTACGGTTACAGCTAGCCAACTCAACTGTAAATTGATGAGACCTTCTTGCCAATCTAATACTGTTCTTAAATTTACAAATTTTAGGTACCATAACGAAAACTTAATTCGAACGATTACCATTAAATTATTCATAGAAAAGGCAGAGGGAAGCTACGTTCGAAAAATGAAGGAAGCCAAGACGCCAGACCAGAAAGAATAATACTCATTCTTTTTTGGATTTTATCAAGAACTGTAAATATATAGCAGGACACCGGACTATATGTGGCAGCAATATTCTGAGTATGAACGAATGGTAGACTTATAAATATGTAAGATAGATTGTGGACAGAAAAGTTATCTGGCACGGCACAGTGAATAAAATTTTGTAGCAGCAGACCTAGCAATAGATTCAATATAATCTTTCCACTTCATGTCAGACGAGAATTTTAATCTCAGCAGTTGCCCTGACTCACTCTCCTGGAGGTTAGCCATGCTTAGGGAGGCAGAGTGAGGTCTCTCAAATGATTAATAGAGAAAAGGTTCTTTTTGAAAACCTTATAATTATCATGTCTCAGTTAAGAACAGACTGTAGCACATTTTTTTTATTATTATTTTTAGATCAACTGAAAACTTGATCTTATTGAAATGATTAGACTTACTATCGAGATAGGAGTAAATGTTCGTGTCATTAGCATAAATATCAAGGAAGGTCATTGATAAAAATTAAGAAGAAAGTAGGTTCAAGGTCTTTGGGGACACTTACCCTAGTACAAAAATATCTAGAATAGAGGCCGTTTTATTTATCAATTTGATAAGAAAGACTGGATCAGTTCAAAAATAAAAATCCAGAAATACCATAACCTTTCAACTTGTGAAGAAACCGCTATACCAAACTCTGGCAAATACTTTCACGATACCCAAACCAACAGCTGGAGCTTCACCATTCTTATCGAAAGTTTGATAAATCTTTCAGAAATAATTGTTAGTACATCAGCTCTTGGTCTAGAGAAGCGAAAGCCATATCGTTTGTCTGAAAGGAGGACTCGTGATGTGAGATTTTTAACCAATAGTGAGTTATTTAGGGCTTTTAATACTTTGTCAAAAAGAGGTAGTTAATAATCCGATAGTTCGAAGGGTCAGACGGTTCAGCTGAGTTCTTAAAGTTCTTAGCAAATATTGCCGAGGGAGTCAAAAGTGTATACAGTAATAGCGGTGTCAAAAGAAATGACTATCATTTTGACATTCCCTTTTTGATTTTTTTTTATTTCAGGTACGAGGGTTAAACTTTGCTTATATAACCAGTTATTAAGAGAAATTACTTCCCGTAACAACAGAAGAGGGTTTCCAACAAGCAGAAAAGCAAGTGGCGGTGTGGCATTTATTGTACAGGACTACATTTCTTAAAGACTTTTACCATCAAGTTCACATGCTTTGCCGTGATCCAAGTTAAAGTTGGTAGCAGAAACCACGGAAGGAGTTGTAAGCATTATCATTCAAAAGGGACCCAGTTCTAAGTTGAAAGCCAGTCTAAGATACTCCACATGAGTCAAGAGTAGATTTTGAGGATAATTTACGCGCAAAACAATCTGTTTATCAACAGAAGACGTTAAAACTTCAAATTAAATGAAGAGAGAAGAAAGAGAAATCTTATGTCCCATGTCCTTTCTCACGTAGGCGATCATGGCTCTCTACTTTCTCCTATCCTTTGTAGTTCTCAATATGTTTTCTCTTTTTACTACTTGTCCTAGACGCTGTTCTGCCACTCACATGGTTAAGCCCGCTATGTTAGGCGTTACTTTCCCTTGTCTCTCGTTCCCTCTCTCCGCCCCGTGAGTATCAATTCTTCAAGCCCACCTTTTTGTTTACGCGTTCCAGAAATTTCAACTGCCTCTTCCTGATGTAAAGTATAATCTTTCTCCTTTGCTTGCATCATCTCCAAAACCTCATCGTTGCTCACATGTTCGGTCCATGGTATCCTTAGCATCCTTCTGTAGAACCATTCCTCCGTTGCCTCGAGTCTCTTCTTCATCTTTGAGGAGACTATCCAAGATTTTCTGTCATAAAGTACGACAGATATCACGTAACAGTTCAGTAATCTTTTCTTTGTTACCAACGAAACACTCCTGTCTCGTAATAGTTTGCCTAGCTTTTGGAATGCGTTTTTGGCAAGCCTAATATATCTTCGGATATCAGCGTCACACTTATCGCCCTATGTCATAATACTTCCAAGATATTTAAATTTCCGTACCTTCTTGATTTTAGTGGTCCCAGCCTGTAGATCGCATTTCTGGGTCATCTTTTTTACTTATGGCCATGTTTTCTGTCTTCTTGTCTTTTATGCTTAGACCCCTTCTGGTTCTCCTTGGCTACCTTCTACACGATGTTTCGTAATTTCCTTTCCTTTTTTACTATCAGTACAGTGTCATCTGCGCATCTTCTGTTGTTAAGATTGTGGCCGCCAATGATGAATCCTGATAGGATCTCTAATTCTCTCAGAATTGACTCGCTGTATAAGTTGAATAAGTCCGGTGAGAAAAGACACATCCTTGCCTTACGCCCCATTCTATTTTTGTATATCTGCTGAACTCATTTTCTATCCACATGCAGGATGTTTGCTACCGGTATAGGTTCTTGATTATTCTAATATCTTTCCTAAGTATATCAAAGTTGCCGAGCAGTTCCAACAGATCTTTGTGGCGTACTTCGTCGACCCCCTTTGAATAATCTATAAAACACAGGTGCACGTCCTTCTGCATTTGTATTTCGCTTTCTGATAGCATTCTGATTGTTCCGATCTCTTTAACAAACCCGCACTGATCTTGTCCTATCAACTTACTTTTATTTAACACATTAATACAGACACGCCAGTAGTCGAGAGATCTAAAGTTGTTAGAGGCTGTTACCTTATTCTATCATCAGAGATTTAGCGCCTTCAAGGACACGCTTACATTTATTATGCGAAGCCGCGAATAGGCTTCCGTCGTGAACCGACCTCTCATCCTGGTATAGCCAGAAAAAGTGAATCGTGCGAGCTATAGCGGCTGAACAGGCCTGTATGAAGCATGGAGAAGATTGTGGTTTCATTTGGTACTTCCGAGATAGATACAAATGCACCGATGCTGGCTTTGAACCCAAGAAGAAATTTCCCTGGTACAATTCGCAATAGAAAGGTTAAGAATATCAGCCCAAGTGGTTTAAGATAAATAAAGTTGCAAAGTGAATCCCAATCAGCATGCTAGTACCGGAAGTGGTTTGAATCCCAATCAGCATGCTAGTACCGGAAGTAGGTTTTGTGAATAAGGGGTTCCTGTCACACAGACGACAGAAAACGAAATATCTGCGTGATCCGAATTGGCAAGATGTCAGAGTTGCGAAACTCGACAAACGTAGGAGAGGAATTAAGGATTAAGATTAATTAAGTAAAGACATCATGTTGATCAGATTTATTTGGGAAATGAGTAGGGAAATCCACTATTTGAGTAAGAGGCTGTGTAACGGAAAAATTGAAAGTCAAAATCAGTAACATTAGAATTCGCAAACCACTTGTTGTGATACGCATTAAAATCATGAAATACATAAATGTTTGCAGATGAAAGAAGAGAGACAGAGAGAGTAATTTCTAACAGAGTGCAACAACAAAAGTCGAAAGCATATGAAAGAATTATCTGGGGAATCGAGGAACACTTTCCTTGGCAGTGGAAGATTATCCCGGATATAAACACCAAGTCCATGCATATGTATGCTAGTATCTTTTCGATAAAAGGAAAGAGCCAGGGAACAGAGAATTAATTGGTAAGAATAGAAGAATTTAAATTAGTTTCACAACGGACGAAGATAACTGGAGACCGTTTCAAGAGAAATTGTAGTGGATACTATGACTATTAGAGAAAGAAACGTTGAGAGTGGTAGGTGTTTTTTTTTGTTTGTTTGTTTACTGGTCTACTCGTATTTATTTCCATTGTATCAGTCATGTGGAGGTATTTTTTGAGGAGAAAATAAAAGGTCAAAATAATAATCCCTCGTAATAATGTGGCTTCAGGGTTGCTCACCAGAAATACATGCAGGAACACCAATCTATGTGTGACACGCTACTACTCATACCCATATATTATGCGGCTGCTGATCAGAGCAGCCTCTCTAAATGTTACCAAATCCGGGCTCTTTACTACAAGGCAGCAACCAGAAAACTGCAAAGCCGGAACCCTCATAATGAAATATCGCAATCACTGATCCGTCATATCACCAAAACGTGACAGTTAAATCATTATGGCCTAGAAAGAAAGAACTTGTAAACAATATCTTAATCAGGAAACAAGTAATAATTCTCTATTCCTGTTCAATAAACATGGAAGGAGTTCGGGTCTGAGGTAGGTGAGCCTATCTAATCCTATTAACCTTATCACAGCAATGAAGGCTGGACGAATTTTATCGATACACTAACTCCAGGAAGGTTGCCGAGTAAGGCTCTAGAGCCAATCCAGTTTCCAACTTTTTTTTTAAATTTTGTCTTTTTACAGTGTTTTTTTTTCCATAATTTTTTTTTTAAAATTTCCTCTTTTCCCAACTTTTTAAAATTGTTCTTCTTTTTCCAACCCTTTTTTATAATTTTCCACCTTTTGTTTTTTAATTTTTTTTCCCAACCTTTTTTTTATTTTGTAAAAATTTTCCTTTTTTACAAACTTTTCTTTTATTCCCCTTCGCCTTCATTTTTTGTTCTGAAAACTACT